ACAAATACCAGATGGTTTTGATGACTGCTTCTCTATAATGTAGTTTGAGGCCTAGAAGTGCTTTTTCCCCCTTCATCCTTTTCATCATTTCCTTGATTTTCTCGATGTTTTGTTTTTCCAAATTAATTTTATTATTTTATTAAGTTCTATAAAGTAATCCCTTTGGTAATTTGATTGGTATAGCATTAAAAATATAAATTAATTTTGGTAATGTTGTCATTTTTATTATATTGGTGCAGCCTCGCAACAAGCACTGAATATTCCTCTAGCTATTTAAGTTGTTTTTTTCTTTAAGGAGCATTTTGTAATTGAATCTGCAGAAGTCTTTTGTGTGCTTTGGGAGGTTGATCCCTAGATATTTTTGTTGTTGTTGTCCAGTCGTTTCAGTCGTGTCTGACTCTTTGTGGCCCCATTTAGGGTTTTCTTGACAAAGATGCTGTAGTGATTTGCCATTTCCTTCTCCAGCTCATTTTACAAATGAGTAAACTGAGACAAATGGAGTTAAAATAATGGAATTTCCCTTTCTATGATTGCTTTTTGTGTTTTGTTGTTATTATATAGAAAAGCTGTTGATTTTTGAGGTTTTGTAGCCTGCATATTTGCTAAAGCTATTGTCTCAGTATCTTTGCTGATTCCCTGGGGTTTTCCATCATATCGCTAGCAAACAGGGATAGTTTTATCTCCTCTTTACCTGTCTTTATTCCTTTAATTTTTTCTCTTTGTCTTATTGCTATTGCTAGCAGTTCCAGAACTGTATCAAATAATAATGGAGAGAGCAGGCATCCTATATTTTGAAAAAGAGTCTAGCATATCCCCATTATGTTTGATGCTTGCTTTTGGTTTTAGATAGGTGCTTTTCATGACACTTAAAAGGTTCTCTCTATGCCTATATGGGATTATTCTGTTTCTGTTAAATCATTCAAGTGAGAGACACATTATAGCTGAGATTTTTCTGTTCCTGACCCAGAAGTCCCCACTTGTTTATTGGGAGCCTTTGCCTTTTTGATAAACCGGTCTTCCTTCCCAGACTAGGTAGTTCCTGGTACCTTCTCTGCTGCTACCACCGAAGGCTTTAGATAGAATGAGGAGATTTTGCAATAAAAACTGCCCCTGGTTCCAAATATCTTTTCTAGGTAGTGTCCCATTTTCACATCCTGTTTATTGAAATCCAGCATGTAGTTCAGTAAAGGGAAGTAATCAAGGGAATGGACTATTTGTAATTGGGTTCAATCAAATATATTCTTTCATTACTTAGGCATAAGTCTAATGTTTGGCTCTCTTTGGAATGGATTCCTACCACTTCTATGAGAGAGGCTATAATATCCCCTTTGAAATCGCCCCCATTTGTGTGGGGTGATGATGATGATGATGATGATGATATCGATGTCTAACATTTATATAATACCTTTAAGGTTTGCAAACACTTTGCATATATTATCCTATTTGTTAAATTTCTAGCAGAGTCCTAACACACTTACAAGTGTTCCGTGAAGTGAATGTGAGCTTTTATGTTCTTCTCAATGCATTATTTGCCTAGAACCACTTTTGAAAGAATGTATCTGATCTACCTATGGTACTGCATTTTTGCTGAACATTAGCAGTGAAAGGCTTTGGTGTCTATTCCTCTCTAACTGGTGTACTACTCCAGTAACAAACATTGCTTCTGAGTGTCCTGGGGGCTGTAGCAGGAAGGGGTTGGCAGCATCATACCTGGTCAGGTTAACACAGTAACAGAGTGGATTACCCTGAAGTGACAGTGTAGGTCTTTCCCAATTACTATTAATTCTACTGTCATTCCTTTCTTATTTCCTGTTTATCCTGTATGTATTTGTGTGTACATATTTGTTTGCTTTAGGGACTGTCTTTTGCCTCTTTTTGTATCCCCAGCACTTAACATAGTGCCTGGCACATATTAGGTGCTTAATAAATTTTTATTGACTGAGTACGTTGGTCAGGTGCTAGCTCTTTGGGTGACAATATTTTAGTCTCTATGAGTACCTGGCCTAGTTACTGGTCCTGAGAGTATATTATGCCCCTGATTCTGAAAGGTTATACTAAAATATAGGATGCCAGCCCATCGTTGGAGATCTGATTGCCTCTGTACCCGAAAACTAACTGCTGTTGCATATAGAGGTAGGGATAGTTATACTTGACTTATCACACTTCCCCAGACAAGTGGGCCTTTCCTCTAATGACCTATTATTCTTTTCAAAGAACTCTATTGCGTAGTATATGAGACATGAAGACTCTAATTTGGTAAGCATTTTAGTAGTTGAGAATGAATTTAGTAACTCACAGTTTTAGTTTCCATCAAACATTAGAGCACTTGACCTATCTTGTTGAACCCCCTCAGCAGGGCACAGAATGCACGACTCCACCACCAAATGTTTATTGAATGAGGCTTACACTGTTTTTTAATGCATAATCAGGTAGAATTTGAGTGACTCTTGTCAAAGACGCAAAAAAAAAAAAAAAAAAAGCCTAGTGGCTGTAGTTGTAGGTTGGTCTAGGCAGGGTCTCATTTTGTAACTGGGCCACTTTGGGAACTTATATGATCTTCCTAGAACATCTGGCTAATATTTCGCCTTCCCAAATAGGATATGATCCTGAAAATGGTCAGAGAATTAAAATTCCATTTGTTTTCTTATCTCCTTCTCATTCTGATTCTACTCTTAGAACTTTGTTTCTACACGTAGTGTACCCAACTTGGCATTTCGTGGTCATGGCTGAATGGGGTCAGGCAAGGAACTGAACTCACAAGTGTTTGTTTAGTCATTTTTTGTTACTGAAACCCCTTAGAAACTAATCCCAGTTAGAAACCTGTGCTAAGACAACCTTTTCTTTATTTAGGCTTTTGTATACTTTTTTCCTTCCCTCTTCTTCTTGACCTCCCCCCTCCTTCCCTTCCCAATAATTATACGTTTCACTTTGTGCCCAATTTTCCATTTGTATGGATAATATGATGAAATGAAGAGTGTACCAGGTTTGAAGTCCCATTTGAAATCTGGCTTTGCCATGTATTCACTGTGTGATCATGGACAGGTCACATCACTTTTCTCCAGTTTCCTTATCTGATAAAATTCTTTTTCCTGTCTGTCTTCCATAGTTGTTACGATAATTAGGTGAAAGAATTATATAAAGCAGTACAAAGCTATTATTAACATGTTTGTGCCAAAAACATGATTGTCCAAATACATCTGATTGAGGATGTTCCAATGGGAGAACTATCCCGGATTTTCTCTTAGCCCTGGGTGTGACCAGTGAGGTGCTCCCATAACTCTTCTCCTATACTTTCTGCAATTTGAGGACAGGC